TAATTGAACCAGTGTTAAGTTGGGATCATCTAGTTGGGTGGATCACTGGCTTGTGGTTCTGCCTGTGCCAAGATGCAGCTTCTTTAATGGCTAACTTCACCATTCTGTAGGTCACGGCTCCCCATGTCCATTTCTGTAATCAAGGTTTCACTCTTCAGTCCCTGGGAGGGAAAACTGGGGCTAGGGGACAGTAGGAGCTGAAAGTTCATTTGTCTTCACAGCATCCATCCTTCTCTGATGCTTCTCAGGAGCAGCTGTGCCCAGCCTGAACTATCATCCTCTCAGGTGAAGCCTGCAGGTGACCCCCAGTGCCCTCAGGGGCTCCCCAAGCCAGAAGCAGTAGCACTACCTGGGAGGTTTTGTTCGTAATGCAAAATTTAAAAGCCCACTCCTGACTGAGAAACCTGAGGGTGGGGCCCAGTAGCTTCTGCTTTCATAAGCCTTCCAGAAGATTCTGCTGCATGCTGAAGTGTGAGAACCAGTGCTTTGGAGCATGCCTATCATGCCTTTTGAGATCAAGATCTGCCTCTCCATCTCTCCTCTGCTTCCTCTCTTGGAAGAGGAAGTACTTCCTTCCCTCTTGTATCCTAAGTCCGCAAAAGTGGGCCATCATCTGTCACCCAGCACTAGCACCCTGGGTTATTTTGCTGTTTTCATTCTTAAAATGCTATAGGTTTCCTGCCTCTTTACTCATCTTTCCCCCTCAAATGTAAACCACTTGAGAGCAGGGATGACATCTTATCAGCCCCTTACACAATTGTGACTAGCATCTGCACTAGGTGTTCAAGATGTACTTGCTGAGGGAATGAGGAAATGAATGGATGAAAACACTCTCTGGACTCTGGATTGCCCTTAATGCTAATGATGGAGAACCTTCAGGAAAAGCAGCATGTCTAGGTATCTCAGCAATTCTCCTGCTCCCCATAGGCACTTTTCGCCAAGTGTATGAGATGGTAGGACTCAGCCAATAATCTTGAATTATGTGGATTAGACTTAAATTTAAAATGCCTCAGTTATGCCAGAGGGCCTGAGTTCTACTCTGCTTTGCTCACAGACAATTGCCCCTCTGTGCCTCAGTTTCCTCATGCTGTCTGCTACCTCCAAGAGCGGATATAAGAATCATAGGTGTCAGGATTCTACTTTCTGGCAGTATTAGTTCACCTTCAGAGGACCTGTCACATATTGCAGGCAGGCTGTAGATCTAGAAGACAAGCACTACCCACTGGTGATAGCAGAGGGAATATGAATCTCTCCTTTGAAGTACCGGCTTACTGGGCAAGCAAAATCATTATGAAAAGTCTTTATGAATGCACATGTTAATGTGTGTGTGTGGTGTGTGTGTGTGTATGACTGATGAATGTGAATTTGTATGTGACCACAGGTATTCAAATACATAAATGATCTTACAGGGCATTTTGCCCAGTGTCTTACTCTTACAGATGAACACACTGAGACTCAGAGAGAATTCTGTATGTCTAGTTTAGAATCAATCATTTAGGTGATCTTTTGGAATAGAATATAAATATTTTCCCAATTTATAGCTTGCCTTCTATTACTATTGATTGGCATAAAATTGATTATAATTTTTGCAAATGTCAAGTATAATGACATTTTGGTATATGTTTTCTCCCAATCTTAGAGAATTTCTGTTAGCTCGGCACATGCACACACATATGCACAGAAACATACACAAACTGTTGGCTAGTACAAAGTTGGCAATGGAAATTCATTTCCCAGGCTCTATTTTTACTTTGTTAGCTTATTGTTTTATTATTTTTTTTAGTTATCTTTTGTGTTTTTCCATGAAGCCAGAGAACACATGTGTTCTCTAAAATGTCCCTGCAAGCATGCTCTCCCTCTTCAGCCACCATGTGGCTCATGCACAACAGGTGATACAACGTAAGCATGTGCAGAGGTGAATGACCTTAAAACTGAGAGACTGCTGAGGTAGAAACAAAAATAATTGAGGGGGGTTACCTAGAGGCAAAGGGTTCATCAACAGAAAATTCAAAACTCCTATTATCTGAAGAAAAGCCTCTTCATTCTTCTCTATGTATAAACTGCCCTGCAACTAGCTATAATAATAAACGTCAGCCAATTCTACATTCCTTTGGTCCAACCTACATTTTAGCAAATAAAATTTAACTTCGTTGTTCTCAACCTTGCTCTCCAAAATAAATATAAACTCTCTTCCTTCCTAGATGAGAAGGCAAATTTGAGTTTTCCTCCTATCTCCTTTCCTGACTTGCTATAAAGCTTTCTCCTTTCAAAACCTGATGTCATAGTAATTGGCTTCTATGCACATCAGGCAGAAAGTCCATTTTTTAACACTACAAAGTAGAGGACAGAAGAAGTTACATATATCCCCTGCAGGATGGTCAAGTTATTCCTTTCCTGGTTAGAGACGGCTCTTACCTGGGGTCCCCAGCCATGGCATGGGTACAATATTGCTGTGTGGTTTTCCAGTGGTCCCTGGTCCAGGCAGACGTCCTTTGCCTTATTGTTGCGAAGCTGCAGAAAGGAAAATGTCATTCATCAGAGCTTGTCTAGAGGAGGTGCTGTTGCCTCACCACCATTCCATCATGGCTTGGTTCTGACTTTTCTATGAGCAGGTTATGTGACATCCCTCCACTCTCTTTAAGCAGGGATCTAGGCTCAAACCTTCAAGGTAATCACTTTATCAATAGATCATATTTCAGACAAAGTCCTTTAATGGACAATGTGGGCACTCCCCCTTTGCCTGAGATAGTCCTCTCCCACCCAGCCCCCACACATAGCTTCCCCATCCCCATCGCAAAAGAAGATCTCGGGGCACTTTTGGAAATAGAAACACTGGTTACCCACTGGTTATCCTAAGTGGGTGTTAGTACCAACACAGGTCTTTAACAATCCTGGGAATCACAGATCAGTGTATCAAGTCATTACTGGCAAAGAGGCATGAAAAACAGTACTGGAAAAACAAATTTTGCCATTATAAAAGATTCTAGCAATATTCATCAATATATTCAAAGAGTGTTACTGAATATCAGGCATCATGTGTTGGAATGCATCTGTGGAGGTATAGGCAATAAGTCCCCAAGGGAAAAAACCCTAACCCTAGGCAGGTCTCTTTGGAAGCATGCAATAAGTGACCTGCTTTGATCTTCATGTGCATTGTGAGTCTGTTAGTGTCCATCCCACCCACCCACCTGCGATCTCAACCAACATTGTTGGTCTTTCCTATATATCTTTAGTCCCTTTCAGATATTCTCCATGGAGACCAAACTAACCAGAGATAAATCAAGAGGAGAGACTTTTGTGCACCCAAACAGTGTCTAGGCTCAGACAACAGAGCAGATTTTTAATGTCTTTTTTTTAAGATTTTAAAAATAATACCATCTCAGTGAGGTATTCTGGGAAACAGAAGAAAGTAACAATTGCTCACAATTATATCAGACAATCAGTTACTTATTTCCAATTTTCCAACAATTCAGTGTTGTTCACTTTTGACTGTGATGAATAACTTTATGCATTTGTTCACATTTCATGTTTTCCTCAGAGCAGAATCCTATAACTGGAATTAGAGAGGGGAGGGATTGGGATCAGAATGGGAGGGTTGCAATTGTATGGGGAATATAAAAATAAAATTTATTATTTAAAAAAAATAAATAAAGAAAAAAAAAGATTTCACCAATATATATAACTGTTATTTTTAGAAAAGAATGAATTTCCAGTTTTGCACAGTAATACTACCATCATGAGGGTAGTATTCATAAAAAAAAAAAAAACAAAAAACAAAAAAAAAAAACTATCCAAGGAATAGCCTGGACCCTGCCCAGCTGCTTCTTGAAAACGTTGGAATAATTTATATTCCCATTCACAAGTTATGAGAATACTTAGCAGTCTGAGTATCATCATTTAAAAGTGTGCTGGTCAAAGTGTACAAACTACCATTTATAAGATGAATAACTTCTCAGGGGTTCTGTTTTACAGCATGGTGATTATAGCTAATAATATTATGTTATATACTTGTTAGTTTAGATCTTAAGTGTTCTCACCAAAAGAGAGAGAGAGAAAAAAAAAGCAATTATGTGATGTGATGGAGACATCAGTTAATGCTATGCTGATAATCATTTTGCAATATATGTGTATCAAATAAACATATTGTATATCTTAAACTTATATAATGTTATATATCAATTATATCTCAATAAATCTGGGGGTGAGGTGAAGTGCACCAGCTTGGGAAAAAATTCTACAGATAATGGTAAACCCAAGATACTAAAAAAATTATGAGAGGGGTGGGAGAAGAGATGAATGAATATATTGGAAAAAAGCAAGAATTCTATCGGAAAGTTGCTATCTTTAGTTCTTTTATAAATGCTTTAAGGAAATTCTTGGTTGCCAATGTTTTCAATGGTACCAGGGATAATTACACAGAAAAACTCAGTTAACTTTGAGTTGAAAAGAAATTCAAAAGAGTTAGATTTTGGGTGATGAAATTTTAGAAAGACTTTTAACCAATATATTTTGCTTATATTTTCCTTTTTATGTATACATACAAAGACTATGAAAAAAATGTACCTAATGAAGTCTAACAAATCTTTTTAAACAAGCATAAAATAAAATTTATATGTGATAACAATAAATTATTTAAGAGGCAAAGAAGGGTATTTTATTTTTATAAATTTATGGTTAACCATAATTTGGCAGTTTCATTTAGCAATTATTTCCCTTTTTGAGAATCATCTGTTTATTTCCCCCTTGGGATCCCAAGTGGTTTTATTATAAATTTATAAGAGTTCTTTAGAAATTAAGGATATTAATGGTTCTATAGTATATTTGTTCCATGTAATGATTTCATAATACCAGACTTTTAATTTTCTTTCTAATGTTTATGCAATCAAACCTATCATTGAGCAATTTTTTGTTTGTTTAAACTCAAATTTTAGATACTTTGAAGGAAAATAGGTTCTTTACTTTTTACAAGCTTGAGTTGCAAAAAAATTCCTTGTTCTTTTGCTAACAGTCCCCCATTCAGCCTTGGCTGATAAAATCAGACAGAAAGCATGAGAACACTTTTCTCTTGCATCTTCAGTGCGAACCTTGGCAGCAGAGAGTGACAGTTCCAGGTCTGTCAAATAGATGCAATCATTGAGTAGTTAAATACATATTTATGGAGGGTCTGGTAAGTGCCTGGCATTGTGCTGAGTTTAATAAACACAAAGATAAGATTTTATCTGCCCTGAGTAGTTCATGGTCTTGAGAGACAGAAATAGACACGGCTAGAGCTGATTCAATGCCTGAATTGTGAGAGGACAGCAAGAAGGAAGTCCCCATCCCATCTCAGGAGTTCAGAGACTAACAGGAGGTGACTCCTGGGCTGTTTACAAGGGCTGTTCTGTTTTTCACCCAGATGGTGGCCACATGGATTTTTGCTTCACATCGTTATGCTACACGTGTAGGCCTCATGCATACTGTATTTGCGGTGTATTTCACATACATGATGTTTAAGGAGGAAAAAGATGAGTGAAAGTCAAGTAGGGACCTGGGGCAATTCAGCCTGCCATAGAATTCTCAGCAAAAGAGCTGGCCCAGTGTTTTTAAACAGATTGAAGTATTTTCCCCTGAGGAAAGTCAATACCTTCCACATGAAAGTGTCAAGACATAAAGCCTCTGCATATTTCTCTTTTAAAATTATGTTATGACATTCCAGCCAACAGAGATGAACAAAAATTTAAGAATCAAAGAAAAGTGACTGACTAGCTAATTGGGCCCGAGCTCCAATGTGGGTTGCAGGATGAGGCAGAGACACTGGGGCTGGCTCCCGCCAGAGGTCCCTGTCTCTCTTTACCTCTGGGCTGGGATCTGGGTGTGGTGAATAAAACTAGCAGATATTTAAAGTAGTTCTCTGAATAATGGTAAATTTAGTCACCAAGATGAATTTGGTTAAAAAGTTATTCTTAAAGAAGGGATAATATGTAAATAAAGCATAATCAGTTTTGGGGTCTACAATCCAGAAAATACTAATAAAAGCTCAACCCTACATATTGGAAGCTCACAGGTTAATGTTTTTAAAAATTAGAGGTTGCCATAATGTACCTAAGAATGAGACATCCACATGTCACATGAGTACAGAGCTTTTTTTAAAGCCATAAACAAAATGAGCTGAAAGATCAGGAAAAAAAAAAAAAAACAAAAAACAGGAAGCCAGGAATATTCACTGGCTTGGGGAAAAACCCTCAATCAGAATTGGACGTGAAAAATGAAGATCACAAAATTCATATATAGTGGGATATTCACTCTGCCTTCCTTTTCCCACTGCTCTGGGGTGTGGTGAAAAGAGTGTGTGGTGAAAAGAGCAAGTAGGAGTGAGTGTCAAATACAGAACAGTCTAAATATTGGTAGATTTTGTTACCAAACTGAATTAGGTTAGACATCTTCATTGAATGCTATATCCCAACTGAAATCTATTTCAGGGTATGGGTGAAGACAGCAAGCAGAAAAGGAGCATGGAAGTAAATGCCCTCAAATGCCATTGTTGATCATACCTGGGAACTGGGATATGGAGTTAATGTTGTCTTCATCTTCATATTTTCTATAGAGCCTATACATTAAATTTATTAATTGATGAAGAACATTAACAAAAACAAAAGACTTCCCTCCTCCAAGAATCACATTGTGATACCTCTTTTACTCATAAGGGCATCCTGATGTTCAGCCCTAGAGACATCATTTACCTCTGGTTTCTGTGAATAGCAGACCCTGGAGTTGTGCAGTGCACACCCTGAGGAACTTTGCCCTGGCCATTATCTAGTATTTTCACATTTTAACTCCTTCTTTTTATCACTATTTCGCTTCTAATTATAAAATTATCACATGAACCTTAGTAGTAATTGGGAAAACATAACAAAGTGCCCCCCAAATCCACCTGTTTCACCACCAGAGGTAAGAAGCAATCCATTTCTCCTTACTATCCTTTCACTTGAAATAGAAGCCAATCCAATTTTGTAATTCTGACTTTTTCCTCTTAAGTACTATACGAGCAATATTTTTCTCATATCATTAAAGTTTTGTAAACACATTTTGAAATGCTTGCAAAATATTTCAAACTATAAATATATCAATTTAATTAGGCTTCAAGTTAAATTCAAAATTTTTGCTCTAAAAATCACTGTAATAAACAATTTTACTCTTAAATCTTTGTCCTCATTTCAGATTATTTGCGTGGGTAAGACTGGAGATGAAAGTCTGACTATCATTAAGCCTTTTAATACATGTGCTTCAAATTGCTTTTGAAAAAGCTTGCTTCAATTTGCACTCTCAGCAGAGGACATGTGGTTTTTCATATTATCAAGACCTTGTCAGCAAAGTACCAACATATATTCCAAATATGCATCTTTGTTCAGTGGTAGGAGACAAAAAGGTACCTCGATGTATTTTAAATGTTATTTTAATTTCTTTGATTATAAAATAAATTAAATTGTTTAATTTTTTCAATGATTTACATTTTCTCTTTGCTTTTCTTTGGGAATATTTTGCTATTTAAGTAAAATATTTTGTTTAAATAAATTTGCAGAGCTCATTATAAATTAATGCTGTCATCTGTTCATCTATAGTATTTATGGCTCACATTTTCCAGTTTGGCATATTATATCTCTCATCAGTTGATGTACAGATATTTTAATATTTATGAACTTAGATCAATTAAACTTTATCCTTGCATTTTCATCCACAGCTTTCATTCTTAGAAAGTCCTTCCCCTTTCAGATTTCACATTCTTATTTGTTCTATATGGTTCTATTATGTTTTTTTTTTCCTTTCATTTAATACTGCAATCTAGTTGAGACATACACTTTGGGATATGGTGAACCATGAAAACCTGAATTGTTTTCTTTCCAAAGAGCTCGACAATTTAATTGTTTCATGAAATGTCCACTCACTATCATTTTTCCATGCTTCCTTTATATTTGATCTTATATTGATACTCCCCCTCACCCTATCCCCAAGTAAAAACTGCTAAATTTTGAAGAAAAGACAAAGCAGCTTGGCCCTATTAATTGCTGCTACTGTCAGGTACTGTTCTAAGAACTCTACATATCCTAGTTCATTTCCTCTCTGCTACAACCCTATGAAGGAGGTACTTTCATTCCCCCTATTTTACAGATGAGGGAATGAAAGTCAAGATGTTTTACTAGGATTTGATTGAGTAGGCTTGCTTTAGAGTCTTTGTGTGCTCCTAACACTATATGTACTTTCCCTGCAAGACACAAGCCTCCCATTCTAGATTCCAGCTTAGGAGGGGTTGAATTACTGGGGCAGATTTTCTATCTATAAATGGCATCAGGCATAAAATAGGAAAATTTACAGCTGTGGAAAAAGTAAACACTCTAAATAAAAGAGTCTTCTTGGCTTCAGACTGGCTGTCACAAGGGTCCAGGCAGCCCAGGGAAGAAACCCAAATACCGGAGTGAGCTGGGTACCTCCACCAGTACAGGGCACCCAGCAACCTGCACCCTACACCTCCATGCCACCACTTCCTCCACCAAACACACAAAGCAAAAAGTAACAAGGACAAGGGCTTATATATATATCCATGTGTCCTGCAGTGGTGCTTGTGATATTTTGAAAATTAAAAAAAACATAAATTATGCCTATATTTTCAATTAAAACACAGCCTAGATAATAGTTGGGATCATATGTAACCATTATTAATGCTGCAGAAAAATATTTAATGACACAAGAAAAGACTATGCATATAAAATATTCATGTTTGTCTGTGTATATAAATTCACACACATAGACACACACACAGAAGATTATATCTTAAAATGTACACGTTAATTATGGAATCAGAATGCCCATATCCAACCCTGGCTTCATAACTTTAAAACTGTGAGACCTTAGGTAATTATTTAATTTCTCTGAGTCTCAGCATTCTTACCAACAACATGGAAACAATACCACTACCTCATAAGGTAAGGGTGAAGTGAATTCATTAGTGAAAAGCACTTAGGATACTGCCTGGCATGAAAAGCACTCAGTGTTTACTGCCATTAACATTATTTGCCAAATTTTCATAAGAGAAAATTGATCTGCCTGTATGCTTAGAAAGCATAGCACATCATAGAAAATCTAAGAGTATCTCTGCCATTTCTTTGGAGGCAAATGGCTCCAACCCACATACTGAGTCAAGGAGAGCACATTCCTACCTCTCTTTATACCCAACTCTTTATACCCAATGCCCCACTTACAGGTTCCAGAGGACCTCAAAAATCAAAATGCCCCAAGTAGAACTCATCTTTTACTTATACCCCAAGGAGAAAAGGTCACCACTGAATTTGCAACATTGGATCATGTTTCTCCCCTGACAACACCAGTTGGAGAGAACCTTGCTGTAGTTACTGTACCTTTAAAAAGCACTCAATGAATGAATGAATGAAATGAATGAACAAACAAGCAACTCTTCCCAATTTTCTCCTAGCAAAGCATCTAAAGTGAGAAGCATCCATGGTCTTAATTACCTCCCCATATGCAATGGTGTTATTGTATCTTCTCATTTCTGGGTAAACATGGTCCAGGTACCATTGGAAATTCTTACACTTTAGACTTTTCCTTAATGCTCTTCTTTCGGAGACATCACCTATGTCAATTCCTGGATTCTGGAAGTAAAGGGAGAAGCAAATGGTGTTAGTGACTGGAGAGCTTTGACCACAGAGGAAGACAGATGACATCACCTGTGGTGATGCTGAGAGATGTTGAGCCTTGTGTGACAGCCCAGATGGTTGGCTCCAGGGGACCTACTTGATCATCTATCCCCAAACAAGACACTGTTGTCCCCTGAGTGCAGCACGCAACCCCCAGACAAGGTGGTGTCCTTATCATCACCTTGTGATAAAGAACCTGGGACTCACTGATGCTGACAACCTAAGTCCCCAGCTTCATCTCTCTCACATTCTTCAGTGACTATCAGAGTCAATTATTAGAGGAATTATTTGATTAAGACAAGAAAATAAATGCCTATAACCACCTCCTGTCTTTCTTTTCTATACATGTGTAATTTCCCTCTTTGTTGGCTCTTTCTGAAGTTCATTATATGCAGAAGTGAAAATAATTTTCCATTGCAAAGCTTGTAATGATGTTCTAATGAA